CCCCCTTCTCCCTTTTTGTCAGTCAGAAGTGATTCTTCATTTTGGGGTCAGATGCCGCCTGAGCTGTAAGTCCCTTCCTACCATGCTTAAGTCACGTCTTAGTGGAAAACCACTAATGGCTCCCATTTAGTCTAGAAGAGCCAATCAGCCCCAGTGTTTAGAAAAACCCAGGTTTGAGAAACGAATGCAGTTTAGCTCAGTTCAGGGAAGGCGGAACCACAGTGCCTGAAGCTGCACGCATTGTGTCCCCAGTGCGAGCCCTCCAGGGAGGAGACGGAGCCTCACTGGCCTGGGTGTCCAGGGTCTGGCTTAGGGCAGGCACCCTGATGTTTGTGAAAAAACACAGGAGGAAGTAAATATTGGGTGAGGCCAGAGCCATGTCAGACCTTTTATGAGAAAAATCAGGGTAAACTCAGTGCAGCCAAATAAAATTCTTTTATTCACTTATCTTAGGGGTTATTATGTTGAAGGCCTGATGGAGAATCATTCTCCCTCTAGTTAGAGTTAGGATTTGATTGCATCCCTGGTCAGTTGGGGAGATGCCTGGGAGAGCTGGTAGTCCAAGGGTGGGCACAGGAGATGGAGATGGGGAGGCAGGTCATCCGGGGATTCCGGAGCCTGAGCTTAGGGACAGCGCATGGAGGCCATGAGGGTGGTTGCCCTTTCCCCGCATCCTGCCCTCAGGAGGTGATGCTGCGGATGAGGGGTGCCAGTGTCAGTATAGCCCAACCCGATGCAAGAATTCTAGGCAGAATACCTACCACCTAATTTTGAACTTGAGAAACTGCCTGGTTGCAGTGAAAGATTGCTCACAAATGGTTATCGTTGTATCTTTAAAACTGCCGTTTAAATTACAGGCTTGTAGCTGCCGTCTGCTGTGAGGCAGATTTCTTACAGCATGTTGCAATCCTTCTGTGTTGCTGCAGGGGTGGGCTGCTATTGAGTGGATAATTGAAAATTCTGAAAGCGCCGTGAGCTGACGGGGTCCGCACCTGCGTGTCACGAACGGCGGTAAATATGCTATCCTTTAACCCCGCAGAGCATTTCGCAGCTTGCTAGCCACGTGCGTGGTGCGCGGTGCTGGAAGCTGTTTAGGAGCCGGAGCTGCATGCGAGTCTCCGGCCCTGTGCTCCATGGTGTCTTCTGTAGTGAGAAAAAATCGCTGGGTTCCTCCTCTTCTTAACTCATCTCCTTGTTTCCTGGCAGGATTTATTTTCCGAGGAAACCTGAATACTTGTTATCTTGTCTCTAATGAGGGACTTGGTTACATTTGTGCGTAGTAAAGAGGCGTTCATTAGGCGCAGACGGCGCTGGGGCTGAGCTGATGGAGGGCTTTGTCCTTTGGAGGGATTTGCGGGTCTGCACAGGCTCCCTCCCTCTCATAAGGACTCCTCGCAGCAGGGAAAGGCCGCCTCGCTCCCTGCAGGCCAGCACCCAGCACCACCCTGCCACTGCCGTTTCCTTTTAGTGGCAAAAGCCATTTTTAGCATCTCCTTAGCTGTCCAGAGATCCCTCGGTTTCCTCGGTCAGCGGTGGCTGGACTGTCAGACTGATCTGACGCTTAATTGGTCAGCAGTGACCTTAAAACCTCGTAAGAGTCAGTTTCCTGCTGCCCTGTGCTTCCGGCCTCTGTTGACTTTCTCTGCTGTGCTGCTCCGGACCCGCTTCCCACGGTCGGGCAGTTGGTCTGTCTGGCCGGCTGTCTGCAGCATCTGTGTCCACATTCGGTGCCTCGGTCAGCAAACGAGAGCTGCGGGGTTCAGGCTTAGGAACCTCTTGCTGGTTTTTCTTAAGTGGCCGAGGCTTAGGTTTGCCACGCCCCTTTCCCCGAGGTCGTGGTCTGCGGCCGAGGTGACCACAGGTAGCGGGCCTGCCTGCCGGGCGGCATGGCCTGTGTGGGCAGTGTGGTGTGTGCGACCGTGTCACTTGGAGTGGTGGGCTCTGTCGCGTCCAGTTTCCTCATACACTAGAGCTAAACTGCCTCCATCTTTAATCAGATGCCTCACCCAAGAAATCAGAGGAAAGAAAGAAAGAAAGAAAAAGGAAGAAAGCAGCGAGTCCTGAATGCGGTGCAGCGGCCCAGGCCGGGAGGTGCGGAGTCCGCCGCCTGCCGGCCCACAGGCTCCTCCACGGCGACCACGGGGCAGGAGGCGCGGCCCAGGCGCAGGCGGAGCTCCAGCCTGTGCAGTGAGACCCCGAGGAGGACGGCCTGTAGCAGGACAGGGGCCGCCGGGCAGGAGGACCGGCCACGAGGCCGCCACTTCGTCATCCGATTGCTGAGCAGGGTCCTGGGAGCCGCCCCCGAGCCCGCCTTCAGTCAGATTGTTCTTGTGCCTTTGTCTATTTTCTCCTTAGCAACAGCTCCCGGCTCTTTCTTGCCAATTCTTGGGATCTCACAAAATAGCTTTTCTCTTTTCAGATCGCTGCCCGTTTCCCTCCCAGTGCCTCTTAAATAACAGTCTTCACCACCAGTCTCTTCACACGTCTCTGGCTACCATCTGTCATTTCAGATGGTGCCGCCATGTACCCTTCTCCTCTCCTCCTCACTGCAAATCTGCGCCCGCTGGAGTAGGGGCGCCCACCCCCAATGGGGACCTGCGTGGTTGACAGCGCCGTGGGCTCTCCCGTCTGAGACAGAATTGGTCACGAGAGCAAGGCACTCTGTCCTGGGTCTGCAACTGGTTTGTCCTGCTATCCTGGGACAAGCGACCCCAAGTCGCCGAAGGCCTGTGTCACTTCTGTCCGTTCTGACCTGTCCTCAGCAAGAGCCACTGCTGCGAGGTGGCAGCCACAGAGCTTGTGATTTTAAACACTCTGCTATCCTGTTAGCTTCACGGTACTTCCAAATTGGGAGTTTTAATTTTCCCATTTTCAAAAATAAAATGTACAATCTCTTTCAATATGTTTCAAATTATAAAAACTTTAGAAGGCCTCCTCCATACAGGATGGGTAGAACTGTGTTTCACTGTTTTATGAGCTATTGCTTTTTGTTTGATAATAGTACTTCCAATCCAAAATGAAATAACATTCATGTTTACTTTTTATCAGACTCTTTTATGTATATAGCTTAGGGCAAAATAGAGTTTTTATAACAACAAACTCTCTTACACCTTCTGCACAGCAGGGTTCGACCCTTCTGAGAGGACTCTGAACTTTTTTGGCCTTTTCTGCCATTTACTGCTAGATTTCTAAGTAAATAAGCATATTCTGCTTTTTTTTTTTTTTTTAAGTATTATCTTTATTGATTTCAGAGAGAGGAAGGGAAAGGGAGAGAGAGAGAGAAACATCAGTGATGAGAAAGTCACTGATCGGCTGCCCCTGACTGGGGATTGAGCCCACAGCCTGGGCATGTGCCCTGACCGGGAATCGAACCCTGATCTGGATCCTAGGTCAATGTTCAACCACTGAGCCACGCCCGGCCGGGCATATTTTGCTATTTCTTGATTCAACAATTTTAGATATTGTCTGTTGACTTCCTGTTGTGGTGGATTATTTTCTCTCTCTTACATCTTCTCTCCCTCCCCCATTGCCCCAATACAGCTATATTATAATTTAAGGTCAAAAGCACATTCAGGCCCTGGCAGTTTGACTCTGTGGTTAGAGCGTCGGCCCAAGGACTGAAAGGTCCTGGGTTTGATTCTGGCCAAGGGCACGTACCTCAGCTGCAGGCTTGACCCCTGGTCCCGACGGCAAGTGTGGGAGGCAGCCAATCGATGTCTCTCTCTCACATTGATGTTTCTCTCTCTTCCTTCCACTCTCTCTGAAAAGCAATGGAAAAAATATCCTCAGGTGAGGCAAATAAAAAAACCAAAACAAACACACAGTTTCCATAATTTTGAAAATACATCACTATTGATATCAAGCCAAACATAAATACCATAATTATGTTTTCTTATATAACTTTTTCCCCTTGAAGGTAATACTAATCTTATTCTCATCTACTTAGTTTTATTTTTTAAAAGTCTAGCTGAGTCCTGTACTCTTCACCCACTGTCTACAATACCCTGTAACATTTTCCACAGATCAAACCTCTTAGGTAGCACATCCTTGGCCTTTTTTAAAAAGCTATTTCTGTCTCTCATCTGTAAAAGGATATTAATATTACCTACTTCAGAGCTGAGTATTAATGGAGATAATGTGGCTGAGAGTCCTTAGTACAGTATCTGATATAGGGTAAGTGCTTGATAGCTGGCAGCTATTAGCAGCTACTGAAAATTTTAAAAAACTATCTTCTAAATTATGTATTAATAGTAACACACAGCACAGAATACGTAATATAATAAAGCTTGTCTTCATATCGTTTCTTTTATTGGCCAAATGTAGTAATATGACAAATTTGAAATTGTTTAATATTTATTTCAGCCTAGTTGGCACATATATTTTAATGAAAATGTTATGATTACTAGTAAGTTAATTACCATACTTTAAAAGTAGTAAAAGTTAATGAGTATGAACTTGGTACTGATAATATACCCTGTACATTTATGTAGCATTTTCAATGATAGGTCTCTAGGGTCTCTAGATATCTGCACGTCAGTTTTTAAGGGACAAAAGCTGGGTCAGGGAGGCAGGGCTGTGCACGGTGGCTCCACCCAGGAGCCCTGGAAGCGGACGAGTGATGACTGGCATTTGCAGGAGTGGGGCAGGAACCCCAGGCTGGCAGGTAGGGTTTCCTCAAGCTGAGTCAGCTGTGCCCAGGGCATGAGCTGCTGACTCAAGCTCTGTCTTCTAAGTGGCTACTTTAGGGCCAGAGTGATTTACTGGTTTAGAAAACTGTATTCCTGACTTAAAAGCCCAAGGGCTGTATGTGGCATTTCTGTTAACAGTTGTTTTGAAGACACCTTCATGGTTCCACCTTTGTATTCTCATTTCTACATTGAACTTGCTTTCATGCATTCATTTACTCCACAGACATTTACTGAAGACCTGTTACATGCCAGGTGTTTTAGAAACTCTGACAAAAATCCCCATCTTCACGGAACAGTGCGTAGGATGTTAGGTGCTAACTGCAATGGAGAGGGAATGCAGAGGGAGTAAGGGGAGTTTACAGAGATGTGACAGTTAAGAAGCTATTTAGGGCAGTCGCTTGGGAGGGAGCGTAGGCACATTCCATACAGCCCATGAGGCAGGACCAGGGAGTAAACCCCGGGAGTAAATTACAGGAGGGCTGAACCTCCCAACTGCTGGACCTGTTCAATGATGGAGCTTTGCATAGAACAAGCACCTCCCTGAACCTGGACGTTCACACGGAGCCGAGGGCTTACCATTGGCTGGAGGTGGGTGGGATGTCTTGGGTCACTTTAGCTCTAAAAGTAAAATTGGGTGAAAAAGCGCTCAGGCAGTGACGGGGGTGGGAGGGTCTGAAACACTGATGGCCAAAGAGACAAACTTCTTGGCTGGGAATCCCATCGCTGTCCTGGGAGGCGTATCTGTTGGGGACTCTGGTAACTATTCCTTAGACCAAGCCTGTACTTTTGTTCCCTGTCGTATGTCGCGGCCCCTACAGCTACGTGCTGCTCTTCGCCTCTCCAACAGGAGGACACGTCACACTGGGAACAGATCTGCCAAGTCAGACGAGGTCCTTCCATCACGCGGGGCTGGGAGATGAACCACCGGTAACAGCCTGTTGCTGGTGCAAAACGGCTGGTGCAAAGGGGGACGTTGGTGTCTTTTTTTTAATGTATGTCAATTCACCTTTCTGTGGTTTTTAATTTTGGGAAATGGACTCAGGTTCTTTATAATACTTAGTAAAATTGAATTTGCCCCCCCAAGTTTCAAATAAACGTAGCATATTTTGCACTTTTTCTCGAGTCCATGTGATATACGTGTTTGTCATCCAGACGAATACTGTTTAGAGAGTGACCTTAGAGACCACCTTTTCTAACACCCTTGCTTTAAAATGGAAGAAACTGAAATCCAGAAATGTTAAGGAACTTTCCCAGTGTCAGGACAGCCCTTCTGCGGCCACGCTGGGGCAGTTCAGTGGGAATCCTCTCAGACGCTTGAAACCGGGTGCAGTGTACCGTGGAAGGAATCTGCCTCGTGAATGACGTACTTTTTTTTCAGTTATCAGGATGAAAGCTCTTGGGGCTTAAGAAGTCCTTTTTGTTAGGGAATACCATTTTGGAACAGAGAGGCCCAGTTCTTACAGTTAAGTTGTATATACCACTGGCTACACCTGGAGGAAATTTTAGGCTGTCATAGGAGTCACCTGGAGGTGGGAGTGTCCAGCCAGTCACACCCAGTGCTCAGTCCAGGCTGCTTTTCTGTGGTCTGACCAGAAACCACCTTGAGATTGTGGTAGGATACCCCAACGGGCTTTTTACCTCCTCCTGCCTACTTGGTGGGCATGGTGAAAGGCTTTTTTCCTCTGGAACGTCTAAGATCAAAGTTTCTCCCCCTTAGAAGTTAGTTTTCTGTTTACATGTTTAGATTCTCTACTGCAGTAGCTAGTGTTTAGATTTACCTGTGCAGAATCTTGCTGTTCTTTCTGCCACACTCCCCTACAGCACTGATACTGTTTACTGAGGAGCCTGATACTCAGGTTAGCGCTACAGAAATCCTCAATTCCTCTCTGGCATTTCTACTGTCTTAAACACTGCTGCTCCTGGGAGGAGTTGGGATGTGACATTCTCTACTGTCACCCTAGGGAAAGGGACCAGGGGACAATTCCTGCAGTCACAAGGAAACACCAAAGCAAAGAATATATAGAAGGGCAAGCTTCAAGTGAGCGAGCTTGCTCAAGGGTGTCCCTCCTTGCCAGCCACACCCAAGGAAAGGGAGTCCCGCCCCTTCTTCAATTCCTAGACAATCAGATTTATTAGAGCAGCTGGCAAAAGCATTCCTAGTGCAGCGCTGACACTGTCTGGCCCTCTGGGTGGCGAACAAAATCTGAACACTGAGTTGTGTTGAACATGGCACAGGTTCGAACATCAAGGTGATTCTTCAGCTCTTAAGCCCTAGGGACATAAAGCAACTATTTTTTAATCCTCACCTGAGGATATGTTTACTGACTTTAGAGGGGGGAGAGAAGCATTGATTGGTTGCCTCCTGTATGCACCCCAACCAGTGATGGAACCTGCAACCTTCTTGGTGTACAGGACGACGCTCCAACCAACTGAGCCACCCGGCCATGGCTAAACAACTTGGTGCCACATTTTTTAAAGTCCACTTCTCAAGAGCTGTGTCCTGTAAGTTCTGAAGCCCTTTTATTTCCACTGCTTCAATAATATTGTAGTGGCTCAGATTTTGCCACCAACATCATGCAGAAGCAGAGCTGCACGATTTTTTGCACAGTAAGACCTAAATATATAAATTATACAACATACACATTTTAATAGAATAAGCCAGAATTATAGCAGTCTGCCAGGTAACTGCATCTAAACATTTCTTTAGTGTATGCGGAGTTTTATATTAGGTTGGTTCTTAGCTATTAAACATTTTTGGGAGATGTTTCTAGTCATGGGCCTTTGGCTGACATGAGGGAAGAGGGAGCACAGCCTTGGTGGAGATCTATAATGAGTGTGTGTGTGTCCCTGCACATTCTGTAGAGACAGCAGAGCCGGAGTCTCTAAACACATCACATGTGCAGTCCAGCCCTGTCCTGAAAGTAGTTCTGTATATGAAATTCTAGAGAGTGACGACTTACAACTATGAATCTTTCCACTGGAGCTGGGAAGGAGAAAGAAAGATACAGTTAAATAAAAGTCACCCAAAGCTTTCCCCTTTATGGTGTCCAAGTTTTCTGTATCTCTGGAATCCAAGAAGGCGTGAGGCAAGGGCTCTCAGACTGAGAGTCAGTGAATATTCGGATTATGAGCTGGACACACACAAACACATCCCTCAGAGAAGCTTCAGTGCGGGGATCCTAAAATATGTCTGGCAAATAAGGGAGTAGCTTGTGTATATGAATATCAAACTCAATATGATGTAATATTTAAGACATGTAAATACCTTAAATGATGCCCTCTGTTTAGTTAACATTAAAACATAACTTTCCTAAGTTCATTTCTGGGTTTGATATTCTTAATTTTTTCCTCAAGCAATTAAAGTGTAATTAACAAAAAGTTTTCCTATCGGGACATTTTAGGAATACATCCCTTGAGGAATTCTATTTAAAAAACATAGATAAAAGCTTTATCATCTTTCTATACATAATTTTTCTCCATATATACAACTTCTTATGTAATAAAGTGTTTTTGAAATGTTAATTTCCTACACTGCTGAGGTAAAAAGGGCTCATGCTAGCCTTGATAACACAGCAGTTATTCCGGAGGCTCCATTTTTATTTTTCCAATGTGGTCCTTGTAAGACTGTGTTTCACAAACTGACCATAAGGTGGTGATAAAAGTATCTTGCCTTCTCAGCCTAGGTGGTTGCTGACAGCTAGTTGTAAAAGACATCACCATTTTACAGCAGGACTCAACACGGGGCATGATGGAAAGCCGTTTATTTTTCCCTAGGTAAATTTTAAAAGATTTTAATGGAAAACTTCTAGTACCGTCATTCACCCTGAACACCAGCAACACACTGTCGTTTCACACCGGCAGGAAGCTAGGTCCAAGTCCAGTCAGTATACACGTTTCTCCATGGAACCTTCAACAGTTTTGCACGTACAAAATTTTTTTGCTATTTTCCTTTAGCAAATAGCAACATAATTTAAAACTTTCATGTCTTCTATGTGATGCCTAAAATCCAGTCCTTTATTTATTAATACAGTTAGAAAAATAAAAGCCTTAAAAAATTCATGGTATGAGTTCATAGTGCTAATCACACAATCTCTTCAAATGTAAGATCTATTTTAAAATTCCTACATTAACAACCTTCTGGTTTAATTTGAAAGGCTTAAGACTTGAACTCTAGTAAGAATGTTAAGTCAATGTACGTATCAATTATTTGACTGAATTTTTACTTGCCTTGGGAGAGTTAATTTCCATTGTCCACTGAATGAATGCCTTTCAAATATTAATATATTACAGTATTTACAAGCATTCTTAGCTACTCTGACACTGATAGAAAGTTAAGCCATGGGGCAGAAAACAAAGACCTCCCAACAGGGTGAGTTCATGAGGTCTGGGACAAAAGCAATGGGTTGATGCTTGAGTCTGTAGGGAGTTAGGGTAAGAGTTAGGGGATGCGATGCGTGCAAGAGGACTGCTCGGGTGTGCGTCCGAGCTCTGACACACATCAGGCCCCAACTGACACCAGCTGGCCAACAACAGTTTTTTTGTTGTTGGATCAGAAGTAAATGCCAAATAGCTGGAAATCAGGACAAAGAGGAACGCTGTGAAGGTATTTACTTTAGTAGTAAGAAGAGAAAGACAGACCTAAGGTCAGGCTAAGGATTGTAAAACCACACTCTACAAGCTGGTAGTGAATTACTCTCTGGAAATCACCTAATTTAGTTGAGATGTTTGGTACATGTCATGGGTAGGAAAGGGTTAAATGCAAGAAATTATTTTGGCAACAAGAAGTGGTGCTACTTTGATTTCTAGAATTTTAACTATATCACGTGCCCTTGTCTTATACTACTTTCTGCAAGTTGTGTCATGCAGATATACCATCCATGTGCCCCTTCAATGCACTTGGCAAACCTTGTTAATGCTGCTGAAGACTCACGTGATGCTCTGGTAGGAGGTGACGTAATGCCCACCTCAGCCGTGTGGAGGAGTCGAGTCAGAGACTCAGACGTGCCAGGTATCTGTCTTGTGAATGTGGATGAAACTCTCATTTGGGGCTTTAGTTTCTCATGTTTAAACAACAACACTGAACTCATTATTTAAAAGGCACACTATCCCAGGTCTCATCAAATACCATTCCCTCTGCCTTACACCCTCCCTGGCAGTCATTTATTAGAGGCTCAGGCCTGGGCCTTCGAAGGGTGTGGCCTCCACCAAACCATCTGGGGTAGTTCAAATAGTCCCTTGGAAAATTTTATAAGTGAGATTAACCCAATATAATGTTTAAAGCTCTTAAACAAGAGTCTTTAAAATAATTTAAACATTTGCATAATCAATAAGGGTTCTCTGGTGGCCCACTTTTACATGCAGATACAGACAAACTGTTAACATGCATTACTTTAGTCAATTGGTAAAGTTTATTTCATATGTATAGGTAATTTTAGCCATTTACTAAACTTTAAATTTCAATCCATTAAAAACTACTACCAGAGCAGTTCTGAGGTATTACTGTTAATCTGGTATAGAAATGATACTATATTTTGATGTGGTATGAAGTGTGACTGCCATGCCATTTATTAAATGGTGCTGTTGTAGTGTTGACTTACAGATGTGCCCTACAGCTTTTAGGAAATTATTGTGCATTTGCATTAACTAATTTTCCAAACATTAATGGCAATTTGATTGGTTGGTGATTTCTAAGTATACCAAAATTATGAAGTACAGTCCACGGAATGGGCCAGTCAAGCTGAGAAGTTTCAGGTATACAATGCTATCTATCCTCCAACCTGCCTTCATCAAAAACCCACCCGACCTGCTCAAGTTGTTTACAAGGCAAACTTGTGCAAAAAGCATCAAAAAAGACTAACAGCAGGTTAATTATCTTGTAACTTTAAAAGAACTAAACAATGTTTTTCTTTTAAACTTCATTTATAAAAATAAATAAATTTCAGTCTGAGACCTTGGTACCAAATTGTGGCTTGATTTAGTCGTGGTGGCTAGACTACAAAGCTATGGAAAATATAGTTGAAAATATATGAGCTCCAGCTCATTCCCCACAGCGTGGCCAGCAGCTGGCACCCTATGCTGTTATAACCCTTTCTGCAGTTAACTGAAACACGCTCAACCTGTTGACAAACATTTAGTCTTTCTCTGTCCTGAAACTCCCACAAAACTTTAATTCTTAAACCTCCATTATTAAACTACAAGTAACCACAACACATGCAAGATAGGGAATGAAAACCTGTCACCCACTCAAGAGACACTGATCCATTGCACCGGGGCGAACACAGCAGCTCAGAGGAAATGGTCATCCATTTGGGTGTATAGCTTATTCAGATGTTTTGCACTAAAATGTAGGCCTAAAGTCCCTCCTGTAGTCTTAATCTCAGAGCAACAATAATTTAAAATCAGTCTAATACTATGAGCAAATCCTCCTAGGTTTTGTGCTGTGAGATGATAAATAGCCTGGCCCCACCCCCAGGTATCTGGTGTGCGGCAGGGCTCCGGATCGCTATGTACATTAGATAGGAACACTGTCAGGTGGAAGTGCCAATATGACTTACTGCTTAGAACTGTGCTTACACCGACACCTTTGTTAGGCTGATTTCTCACATGAGAAGATTTTTGCCTTAGAGAATTATATGAGAAATAGGAAGGAACTGAACTAAGGAAAAAGTTTCTGGCCTCCAAATCTACACACACACACACACAAGTGAGTTCTGAACTGTTGTCCTCTCAGTGCAAACGAGCAATTGGCTGACCTGTCACATATCATCAATTGCTATGAACACAGCATTCAGTCTGTGGAACAATGTGATGCAGCAAAAACCTGATCTAATGCAAATCAAGCCTATTAACTAAAACCACAGCAGGAGAGACAGTCCAGCTCAGTGTTCTCCCACACGAATGCCGACTCTGAACACAAAAGCAACTGAAAGGCACAGGGCTCAGATTTCATTGATAGTCCTCTCTGAAGGGCAGTATTCTGAGGGGCCTGGTGAGGACATATAGAAAGACTGTGTTTTCCTTTTTAATCGGGCTCTTTTGTTGGCCAACACCAGGCTACGCCGGCTTGAACTGATGATTTCTGAAATAAACTTTTTGCAGTCCACACACACCTCCATAGTACTCCAGTCCTCCATTAACTCTTTGGGAAACTGTAGTTCTTCATCTGATTTGTCCACAGACTTAGATTTTGAGGAGAACCTAGGGGAAAAAAAAAACGTTTAAAACGTTTTTTTACTCATTATTAAAAAAACGTTTTTTAAGCATTATTACTCATAGTTCTATTGCAATACTAAGGAAATATGTGCAAAAAAAGAAAATTTGTTGCAAAAACATTATGGAATAGGGAGTGATTTAGGCATGTCATGTTCTCCCGAAGAAGAATTTCTCACTGGAGAAAAGGTTCAAAATATTTTAAAAAAGAAACAAATATCACGTGCTCTCACATGTGGAATCTAATGAACAAAATAAACTGACAAATAGGATGCATAGAACAGGCTGATGAATCTCAGAGGGAAGGGGGGGGAGGAAGAGATTAACCAAATAACTTATGTGCATATATGCATAACCCATGGACACAGACAGAAGTGTGCTGAAGGCCTGCCTGGGGTAGGGCTAGAGCAGATAGAGGGGGCAGAGGGGGAGGGAAATGGGGGACATCTGTAATATTCTCAACAATAAGATAAATTAAAAACAAAACAAAACCAGGAAACATGTTTTATTAAGAAATAATACTGATTGGTGAGGCTGTGGAGAAAAGGGAACCCCTGTGCACTGCTGGTGGGAATGCAGACTGGTGCAGCCACTGTGGAAAACAGTATGGAGTTAACTCAAAAAATTAAAAATGGAGCTGCCTCATGACCCAGAGATTTCTCTTCTGGGAATTTATCTGAAGAAACCCAAAACACTGAAGTTCACTGCAGCATTATTTACAATAGCCACAAGTTGGAAGCAGACCAAGTGCCCATCAGTAGATGAGTGGATAAAACGGCTGTGGGACATTCACACAATGGAACACTCCTCGGCCGTAAAAAGGAAGAATATTTTACCCTTTGCGACAGCATAGATGGACCTGGAGAGCATTGTGCTAAGTGAAATAAGCCAGTCAGAGAAAGACAAGTACCATATGATTTCACTTATATGTGGAATCTAATGAACAAACTAATTACCAAGCAAAACAGAGATAGACTCATAGATAGAGAGCAAGCAGACAGCACAAGGGAAGGG